TACCATTATATTTTTAAATCACATGGCTCATTTCACTTCACAAGTTCACAGTTTGAGAAGATTTTTACCTCTCTTGCCCATATCTGATTGAGATTATATTTGGGTGAAACTTTGGATTCAAAATTCTAAAGGTCTGAAAAAGCTACAACTCTTGTTGCACAGGTCCTGCTTTACCTTGGTCTTAACCATCCAGTAGAAAAGTATGAATGCGAAATATAGGAAGTAAAGCCATGTTGTTATGTTGAACTGTGAGGGACTCAGGTCAATAATTTCTGACATTGCAGTTAAACAGAAGACCCAATGCTATTATGGGCTACTGGACTCTTTTAGAATATTTTGCTGAGTTTACACACCTATAATATTCAATAACGGAACTTAAAAAAATGGGGTATAACTATGAATGTCCATTTTGTATCTGTGTATTCAAAGTGGTTGGGATAGATATATAGTTGCATTCTCTTAATGAATAGAATGATTTTTTCTAATGGTGTTTGTAAATAGGATCACAAGTCTGCATCTTGTACAGCAATTAACCACTAAGAAGAATATATGCAGTGTATTATTTGTTGAAACTGTACTTCCGATTTGATTTGAAACTGTCTCATTGCTGTTTATCAATAAAACTTTGAAAAGAAAAAAAAATTCTAAAGGTCTGATCCTGATAATTGTAAGATTATGATTGGATTTATGCATTGTTGTGTGAGAAGGCTATGACTTTCAGGGATCAGTGGTAGAAGAGTACAGATTAATGTTTATGTTCCTCTAAAATTTAAAATTCAAGTTCAAATGTTATGATACTAAGAGTAGGGCTTTTAGAGAGGTTTTTGTCAAGAAAATAAAGCCAACATGACTGAGATTAAGGCCATAAAAATGAAACCCCAGTGATTTCTCTCTCCATCTCTATTCAAACATTCTTCTCTTTATCAAGTATAGCCTGCAAGAAGACTCTAACAAGAATCTTGCTATAGGGTTTTTTCAGAACCATGAGGAATGAATATCTGTTGTTCATAACTTGTTCAGTCCATGGTACTTTGTTATAGTAACCTCAATAAACTATGACAAAAGGGGAATGTGTCCTGACATTAGATTTTACTGAAATATAATGGGAACTCTTGTGCCATATTGTTGCATATCACAACTTGGGTAAATCATTGCTAAACCTCCAGGTAGGTAAAAATTGTGGAATATCACAATTAAGCAAAAATGGAAATCAAAACTGTAGAAACTGCATTACCCTTGAGAACTGATGATAAGCCTGAGGAGCTTTGGTTTCTGTTTTAAAGGTTTTCTGAGAGTATTGAATATACAACCTTAGGCTTGGTGATCCCTGACTTGAGAGGTGAAATGTGGAGTTCCCCTTCTGAAACTGGGGTTCCCCACAAAACCTATATGCTCATAAAACAACAACAATAAAATGAGGTTGATGGTTCAGGAAATGGTAACAAGAATTCTTAGTAATTCTACTTTACTACTTTTGATAATGCAGAAGGGAATTCATGAAAAATATGTAACCTCTAATATTCCTTTCTTTAAGTGTAAAGTCCACTCTGGCCAGTGGTGATATTGAGAAGTATAATAGTCAAATAATTCATTTGAAGTAGTTCAAGAAAATAATAATCTATCAACAATAATACTGGTGCTTTTTGTTCAATATTTTTTCTGTGCATCCCTCTACTCTCTCTTTCCCTCCCTTCCTCTCTCCATCTCTTTCTCCATCCTTTCCTTCCTTTATTCTTTTTTTCATGTAGCACGTGAATTGAATCCATGGCCTTCACCTTGAGTTACTTTGTATCCCTTTTTTTAAAAAAAAATTATTTGGTGCAGAGTCTCCTTATGCGGCTCTGATTTGCAGTGATCTTCTTATTTTCAGCCTCCTCAGTTCTGGAATTACAGTTGTGGGCTACTATGCCCAATTTCAGGTCCAGCCTGAGGATTGAACTCATGTCTTTGTGCTTGCCAGGCAGGCGCTTAGACCACTGAGCTATCTCCCCAGTCAAAACATTAGTTTTATTTATTTATTTATTTTTTGGCAGAACCGAAGATTGAACTCAGGCCCTTGAGCTTGCCAGGGAAGCACTTATTCCACTGAGCCATCTCCCCGGCCCCAAAACATTAGTTTTAAGGTCCATATGTATGCTTCAGTGGCCAGCACATCCTGCCCATGTGGGCCAGCATTAAGTTGTAAGATAATTAATTTGTAATTTGCTTTATACTTGATAAAAAAATCAAAACACATGGTCAATACATCTTTGACAATTAATGGTGTTGAAATCCCAGAGATAAAATGTAACAAAATTTTGTATAATAATAACATATAGACAGTGTACTATACTTTGTATAGGAGTGTATGGAAAGAATGTAATTTCAAACTCAGATGGTTCTCTCCAAAAATAGTCTGAATACATACAGTTTATTCTGCTAGTGTTGAAAGCATAATAAAATCCATCCTTCAATGCTTTCAAAATTTGGCAGCATCTCCAACAAAAGCTCAGCACAAAACCTTGAACTCCTTTTTTCATAAAGGCAGTATTATATGAGGAGAAAAATGAGTAAAATCAGGCAGCTATCTGCATTTTTAGTTGTGTTTCATGCAAAAATAGAAATGTTAGAATGTAAATAAGAAAAGGATTATATATAAATTATTTATTTCCATCATGGTATGTGTAAAATCTGTATGGAAGAATTTTTATGTTTACAGTCTCTGACATGATTTATATTTGCAACTATGTAGGGGTTATTTTGGGGGAGGAGTGACTCAGCATGCCCTGAGAATGGGGCAGGCCCAGCACATGGTGAAGGGGATCCAACGGCAGTTCCCTGCGCCTGCCTAAGCTTGCCTAGACAAGCACTAGACCGCTGAGCTATCTCGCTCACCCATACTGCAGCAAATTTGGAGTTCAGTGAAAAGCAGCTCTACATACAGAATGCAAATTAAACAGGAAGATAGTATGTAGCTAACAGCATGTGGTACAGGGCATTAAACCCTGGTCCTTGCACTTGCCAGATAGGCACTTAGACTGCCAAGCTATCTCGCCAACCCCCTTGCCCTTCTTTTACTTTTTAACTTGAGACACGGTCTTCATAAGTTGCTAAATTGTTCTAACTTTTCTAAAACTTGTGATCCTCCTGCCTCAGCCATTCTGGGTGTTGGGATTACAAGGGTGCATCAGCATGCCCACTTAATTCTGTTGGTCGCGTTTCAAGTATAATTCTGTTGAGTTCCAGTTTCCAGTACGTTAACAGGTCATCTTCTGAGTTTACAGTTATACCTGTCTTTCCTGATCCTGATTTTCAGATTTTTGTGTGTCTTTGCTTTCATCATTTT